CCGGGGGCAGCAAGGGCTGGGGGTGCCCCCTCCCTCTGCCCTGACACAGAGCCCCTTGTCTGTGCTCCATCGGCGTTCGTCTCTGCTCTTCCTTGTCGCTCTTGTTTCAGCTGATGCCTCCTGGCCGTAAGGTTTGGGCATTGTTCATATAAAATGAATAGGATTGACAGCCTATACCTTATTCATGCTTTACTTTTGTGCTGCTTTCTTCCTTTCAGTGTCCCTGGAACTTCAGAAATTCATCACCTTTTTGTGGACATTCAAAGCCGCTGTCCACTGACGGTTTATCCCCATGTAACAAGCGTTGGTTTTATGGAATTAGGCAGTCAATATAGTTGAGACTTTCAGAGCTCCCAGGGAATGTAGCATTTGGCTATTTAACTTACATGTGCAATTTCAGTTGCTGCTGCTTAGATACGTGTATTAATCAACTTAGAAAGTTTCCATCAAGTTCTCCAGTGTTCCACATCTCTTAAAACCTCTGTACCAGATGTCAGGGCCACTGCCGCTCGTTTAGCACAGTGCAGTAGAATCATAGAATCGTTGAGGTTGGAAAAGCCCTTTAAGATCATCCAGTCCAACCATTAACCTAACACTACCAAGGGCACCACTAAACCAGCTAAGGGTAGAGTAGTAATTTCATGTTTCCTGGCTTGGTGGCTGGCTTATTTTTTAATAAAAGTAAAAACTAGGAATCACTAAGGTTGGAAAGGCCCTCTAAGATCATCAGCCCAACCATCACCCCAACACCCCCATGCCCACTAAACCATGTCCCAAAAGTGCCACCTCTACCCGTTTTTTGAACACAAAAAGCCCACAGTAGGTGTGTGGAGACTACATGTAAGGCCAAATGAGAGAGCACCAAGGTAGGAGTAACACTGCAGCATTGTTCTCTTCCCGTCTCTTTGGAGGCTGCTGAGATGTGGCTGTGCAAGCAGAGGGGTAACCGCAGCCTTACGCTGCCGCTGGTCCAGGCTGAGGGTCTTGAGCCAGCTGTGACCAGCTTTGGGATTGCTGTGGCTGCACTTACAGTACAGCAGCTATCCCCTGCCACTCAGCACCGAGGAGACATGCACTTTGTCATGGGTCAGGAGAACTCTTGATACGGGCAATATTTGTTTCATTATTAAAGCAGCAAGATTTTATCCTTTTGTAAACCATAAACCACTTACGTATTTCGGGGAGTGATCTTCTTTACAAACTCAGCAAGGTTTAGGAGCTAAAAGGGGGTACTGAGAATTGAAACCATCTCTGTATTTATTGAGCAAGACACAACCCTGAAATAAGCTTTAAGCATGGGGAACAAATGTGTGAAGTGAAACAACTACAAGCACAAACAGTGAGGGGATTTAGAGTAATTATAAACCTGACAAAAAATTTTTTTTTTTTTTTTAAAGTTGTGAAGTGGGAAATGTCAGGAAAGATGATTTGATGGAGATACTGGGTGCAGGGATAATGTGCAAAACTGCGAAGCTGACAGTAGCATCATGGTAGAGTAGGAAGACCCTGGGCTGCAGTGCAGCAGTAAGGGAAGAGAGGCGGCGGGT